GTGTGACGCTTCTTCAGGATGGTGCCCACGCAGTGGAAACTCCTGAGAATCTGCTCGGTGGCAGCGCAGGGAAAGCCACTAATCTCCACCCACTGGAATGGGGCGTAAGGCAACTGGCTCGCGATGGGATTTTGGGGCTTCCTGGGGTGACGCTTGCTTTCGGCCAGCAGCTCCGCTGCGATGACATCGGATGGTGATTCGTGCGTTAACCAGCGTCGCTTTTGTATAAGGGGATTCGGAGGCACAGCCACTTCGGTGTCGAATCCTGAATTGAGACTCCAGTTGCAACGTTTGGCAGTAGCACAAAAGCTTCGCAGTGTCGCGCCACGCTCTATCTTCAAGGGAGCGCAGACACCTCCATTCTGCTGTGCGGACATCCTGCAGGATGCAATTTTGCAGTGATTCCAGTAGTGTGGAGCGAAAGGAAGTGTCGAAAACAGAGATGTGTCTGTCTGAATTGCTATGCCTGCTGTGATTTCCAGCTGGAACTGAATTTCATTTCCACATCTATCGAGCCTTGACAGAGGCCTTTAGCCCCGCTTTCGCAGCGGCAGGCAGACCTTAGAGGGAGGAGCATTTAGCAAAGCCGAAAGAGAAAAAAACAAACACACACAGAGAGAAACAGTGGCAAGGGCAGCAGATATCCGACCATCGCATAGCGACCATCGCAGTGAAATCTGAAATCTGAAATGTGGCCCGAAATCAGCCTCAAAACCACCGAGAGTCAGGCAGTCAGTTGAAGGTTTCCATATTTTGTATGTAGTTTCGCATGCACATAAATTGTAAGTAATTTGCAAGCTTGTTATTTTTATTTCTCGATATTTTTGGTTGGACGTGGATTATAATTTGATTGAGCTACCGAAAAATTAAACGCGGCACGAGTCCGTCTGTCGTTTTCGGACACTTTTGACAGCGGCCCGTCACTCGGCTTCAGACTCGATAATATATTATTTTTAATTTATATTATTTATTAAGTTATTCATGCTGAGCGTCGCCAATGGACTTGCCAACATCTCTTGTTCGTTTTAGCGAAAAGGAATGCTAATAAACGTACCGTCTCTTCTCGTCGCGGTCTCTCTCGTTCATCGACCGATAAGCAATGCGACATTGATATGCCTCCCCGCACTACCCCACCTCTAATTTCCCACTCTTTAAATCATTTAACACCTGCGATTATTGGTAATTAGAGTTGTCATAAAAACTAGCAAAGATTTATAGCATTTTTGGAATGTTAATGATGGAAAATTGGCCAGAAGTCGATTGTTTAAATATTTTTATATTAATTGGCAGACAGAAATATTCTTAAAATCGATGGCCTATTATGATCATCACTCACCTTTATTACACTTGTACAATAATTCTTAGCACATGACTTCTTTAGCCACACAAGCAAAAAAACAAAAGAAATTCCGAAAGAAGTAAACACACAAAAAAAATCAATCGAAAACCAGAGAGAGAGAGAGAGCATGCTCTTAAGTCTAATGCGATCTCTTGCTTTTCTGGTACCGTTGCTTTTGCAATGATTCACTTTTCGCACTAGCACTAGATGGCGCTGCTGCTCTCCTGCTCTCACTGCAGCCGAATTTCGTTCTTCTCACACACGCACTCACACACACACACAGAGAGGTGCTCCGCAAACTGAACCGAAAACCACGTGAAAAAAATGAGACAGCTCTGGCATTAGCGGGATCGTGGGCGCTCGCTGCGCCTTTGCACTACTTTTTTTCACAGAAAAAAACTTCACTTCACTGATTGCACTGCACTTTCACACATTTGGGCTCAATTTTGGGTTGACTTTGGGCACATATTTTCATGCTTGCTACTTTCCACAACACATCACACGATTGCGCGACAATTTTATCGATGTATTTTTACCACTTTTCCGCTTTTCACGTGCTAAAACGATTAAAGAACGCGGCGCGGACTTCCGAATAAACGCATCTACGGCGACGGCGGGAAGGTAATGAAAAGAATGTGAGAGAGCGGAAGCTGTGCTTAAAGCTGCTCTCCTAATGTTCGCTCTCTGTACTCTCTTCGACTGCAGCTGGAGTGGGATGTTCTTCTATTATATTCTGTTCCTACTTCAGCGCTGGCATCTCTCCCTATTTTAATACTATTCCCACTCCCATTCCTGCCACATTCCCAGGCATAAATATTTTCCTCTTGTCAAATCATGACTTTTGCTCTTGGGTATGGCTTACCTTTTCTCCCCCGATACACTCGATCCATGCAAAATGTCAGCTTAGACACCGTTAGAGCGAGTAGTAACTGTAATTAAAGGCTGAGACAAAACCGGAGTCTTAGCTGGACGGACAGAAAACCCCTCCGCGACTAGTAACAGGCGCGCGGGTAAGTCGATGCCAAGGCTGGCGGATGGCGAGGCGGCTGCCCGTGGTTTTGGCATTTGTCAAGCGATCAAGCGAGCCACAGAGACCCCCCCCCCCCCCC